GGACCATCCTCTTGACCTTGCTCCAAGTCACCATGCCTCGCGTGACGCGGCAACCCTCCACCTCCGCCGCCCCCTCCGGCCCCTCCAACTCGGCCAGCACCGCCTCCACTCGCTCGCCCCCCTCTTCTGTCAGCGCCTCCAGGGCTGCCATCACCTTCTTCTGCTCCTGCTTGAAGGTCTTGCCGATCACCGCCTTATCCGCCTTCATCACCCACACCTCCTCCTCCCGCGGCTCCGGCAGCGTGTAGGAGGCAATGAGGGGCACCTTGCTCTTCTTCGAGTGCACCATCAGGTCATAACAGGCCCGGTCCGCGTGGCCCACGCACTCCACCCACCCGTAGCTGGACTTGATCTCCAGGTCCCAGCAGTCTGCCGCGTAATGCGCCATCTCTGTCTTTAGGTGCTGTCGAAACCGCAGCCTGGCAGCGTCCATGCCGATCTTCTCCATGAACCGCCAGGTCTTGGCCATGAAGAACCCAAGCGTCTCGTTGTTCACGATCCCCTCCCGAACCGCCTCGCCGATTGTCATCACCCGCGTCTTCCCCGATCCGAGCTGCTCGTCGTTGGGGAAGAGGACCAGGGACTGACCGGCGAGGGAGGCGAACTTGGGGTGTTTCTTGTCCTGCGGGTTCACGAAGTGCTCTATCTCCGCCATGCAAAACTCGCGCACGCGGAGGAGGCCTGCCCGAGGGGAGATCTCGTTCCGAAAGCCCAGGCCAATTTGGGCGGCGGCAAACGGCATGCGACCTAGGGTCCGAGAGGAGAGAGGATGCGCAATGGGGGAAGGTCAGTGAGGAGAGGGGGAATGGGAAGGACTGGAACGATGTAGGGAGACAGGCGTGGACAAGGCAGGAGGGGAAAGGTTCCGAGTCGGAGTGGAGGGACGACGCACCCGAATTGTACTCGAGGAGGCGGCGGAAGTTGACAAAGAGCCCTTGGGCCGTCTCCGGACGCAGATAGCCTGCAGCCACGCCCTCGGGCCCGATAGAGGTCTTGAACATGAGGTTGAAAGCGAAGGGAAAGGTGAGGGCATTGCCTGTTGTGGGGCTGACGATGCCGTATTTCTGCGTAAGACGAAAGAGAGGGAGGAGTGAGAGAGAGGCCCGCCGGGTTGGATGCCGGAGGGGGAGAAGACGAGACGTATGCGCTCAGAATGTAAGTGGCTCGTTCACAAGCATCGTAAGGATGCCTTCAGTCAACGTCAGGTGTTGGAACTCTTCCAGAGTCGCTCCTCATCGCACATCTGGCCGGTAGGATACCCGGAGAAAAGCCCGCCCCCGAGGAATGGGCGCCTCGGTGACCGCCGGAGTGCCGGCCCCGCCCCGTCCCTTCCCGCGGCCCACCTGGAAGAGTTCGTGCAGCTCCTCGGGCGTGTAGGCGTCCGCTTGCCGCTGGACCCGCCGGTGCTCATCCTGCTCCTCACGTGAGAGGGAGGGGTTGCTCTCCAAAAAGCTGTCGATGAAATCCTCCAACAGCTTGTCCGCCCGATGACAATCCCCTGTGCTCTCGTCCTTGACCTGAGCGTGGAGAGAAACGGAAGGGGCGTTGAGCTGTGCAGGAGGAATGGCTCTTTTCGTCGTCAGGCACGCCAGGACTACTCCTCGTCCCTCTCCCCGGTAGTCGCCTTGAGCCTTCCCTCGCGCCCTTCCCGCCGAGCCCTGCCTTTCCTGCGGAGTCTTACCATCAAGTCGGTGAATTTTTCCACGTGGCCACTCGTTTTCAGGACCACCTCCGGAGTCAGACACGTGCACTCCATCTCCAGCATGTTCTCCTCCAAAATGAAGTGCTGGCGCCACACGTCCAGTATGTTTGCTTTGAGCGCGCACGAGGCCGGTCCTAAGTCAAACAGACCGCCTACACCACCATGGATTTCGAACGCTGAAACTACGAACATTTTGCGCTTGACTAAATCGTCAAAGGCGGCTCGGTTGAAAGGCTTGTCTGTATTATTGCCATCCGCGGCTTTACGTGCGGCGTCAAATTCAGCTCTGAGGGCCAGAAGCTTGGCCACTTCTGGCTCCAAGACCTCCGCCTTGGCCCCGTCTTTCTTCAACATTTTTACCACACCACCTTGCTTCGTGACGGCTGCAGCCAAGGCATCCACGTCGACGACTGGGGCAGTGGAGTCCGTCATGCTGGCACGGCTAAAAGTACGACGGCGACGACACCTGAGCTGCTTTTGTCCTGGTAATGACTGAGAATGATTAGTTATAAGCTCACACGAGCAAACGAGCTCAATCACCGATTTTGGGACAAAGGTGCCTGATAATGGCACCCGGGGTATGCAAGCAAATTAAGAGAGAGCTTTCACAGCCACCGTCCGTTGATGGAATCGCTCGAGAGCACTCCGGCGAGAGTTGCTCCGTTGTCAGAGGGGACACCAGTACTAGTCCTGTATATGTAACATGCATGTCCCATCTCGACCATGATGTGCACATTCTGTACTCCTCGCTCCGAGTGCGAGGAGGCGGCGTGAAAAGACCTGGAAAGGAAGGCAATGTCGGGGTAGTACCAGTAGGGGAAGGAATAGCCCCAGCCGGAGCACAGAGGCGGGAAAGGAAAGAAAAGGGGAGGGGGCTTGATATACAAATGGCTGAAGGAAAAAGGCGTCATTATGAGGGTGCAGTATATGTGCTATATTTGTACTCGGAATCAACTTTTTGGGGGCGGATATTCTTTCTCCTCCCATCCACGTAGTTAGGAGGCATTTCCCCCCCGTCTGTCCTGACTTGCAAAGCGAGCTTGGAGCCCCGATCGTACAGCAAAGTTTCTCGATCTGCATGTGGGAATATCGACCATTTGTGGACGATTTTTAACGCGAAATCTGCCTTCCTCGATTGGTCTGCACCGCTCAACGACATACTTACTTTCTCTTTCACCTAAGGATTAAGGATTCCCGCCGCCCATTAAAGCTGAAGATGAGCAGCGGCAAGCGCAATCGCTCGTTGGCGGAATTGGAAGATCATACACATGCCCCCAATGATAGAACAGCGCTGCAGGGCTTGCTTTACGGCGATCAGGTCAACTACAGGAGCTTGCGGTGCGTGGCAGGCTGTGGGGGGTGATTGAAGGGAAATCCGGTGAATTATAAAGAGAGTGGGTTTCAGAACCGCAGATCTAATTTTTTCAAATTCCTTATATGCTCAGAAACTTGCGTACCCTGGCTATGGGCGGCAACTATCTCCCATTCGCTCACGTCATCCCCCTTGTCCAAACACAGCAAAATGCTGAAAGAAATAGGGGAGGAGAAGTCAGACCGCTTTTCTAAATCACAAGTAACTCGCACTGTGGAGGTACGTAGGGGCGCTCTCACGTGACGTTTGCGGGTGCCTGGGTCTGACGAGCCTTGTCGTGGGACCTCATCGCATTCTGCTCACCACCCACAGCGATATTTGAAAAGCGGTGCCCTGTCTATCGATGACATCAGGTAGGGATCTCGAGTGGCGTCACAGGTTGCCTCACGCACGCCATTAAGACGATACTGCCTCCTTTGTCCTGGTCTCCTCTCTATCCCTCGTGTCCTAATGGTGCGAATCATATCTTTGCCGGAAGTTATGGTCGCTTACGAACCTTTTCATGACTCAACTCGTCACAAATTTTTAATCCGTACCCTGCAGGAAAGCGGTCGATAATGCTGGCGGGAATGGTGGGAAGAAGGAAAGAAAAATTGCGAAACCGGCAGCCAAGAAAGCAAAAACCTCCAAGGCAGGCGAAACGACACCGGCAAAGGCTGCGGAGAAAAAGGATGACGTGGAACGGAGGAACTCGGGAGTGATTGGATTCATTCAAAACCTCTTTTCTCCGTCCAAGAAGTAGGCGTCGCGCAAGGAAAGTATGGCTCGCGAGGGTTGTCAGGACTCGGGGAGGGTAGACGAATGTGTGGAGTGGTTGAAGAAAATATTCGAAGTCAAGGCTTCGAGAAATTCAAGAGCCAATTCGACGTTATCTTTGACCTCCAAAAACAAACGACCTTCGGGATGGAATTTTAAATTACTGGACGTCAGACAGCGGGGTCACGAGATAACTCGCCTTCTCCGCCATGAACACAAAGTAAGGCGATAAGATTGCTTATCATACCGTCGAAGTTTAAAATCTCGACCAGGGGTGTGGATGGACATGCGTCAAAAGATGTTGTGGTACAACAGATTTAAAATACGTGTAGAACACATACTATGACAGCCAAACAGAAAAAGTCAACCTTAAAGGTGTCCTTACGAGGCACCTTGTTTCTCGAAGTATAGCTTAGTCTTTGAAATTGCTCGTGGTTGGGTATTGTAGGGTCATCGAGACTTTCGGTACCTGTAAAAGGGGTTTTACATGCTCGGATTAATGCAGCTTCCGACAGGGCACGTCTACAGCCCCCGCGGATAGTTATTTTTAAGATTTTAATTGCCGAGTTGCAAAATCAGTAGTCTTTGAGGAAGAGTCATATATTGATTTATGTAGCGTTTTCGTACATTTGTGAGAAAAGAGAAGGCATAATTAAGCTTACATAAGTCCCTCCTCGGGGGGTAGCGCAAGCCCGCGGCCCATCCGCTTAACCTTTGCCCCTCTCCATGTTACACTCTCTTGCATATAAATCCAGAGCCACACGTTTGAATTCACCGTCCCCCGCTCGCTTTTTCAGAAAATTTCTGGTAGCTCACTCCATGTTGCGACGGGTGCAATGGATTATTCCTGGCCACAAACGACGCCTCAAGAGAGCTCTGATAGGCACGCCCTCGTCATGCCGACCTCCCCACTCCGGAAGACCTGTTGCTGCCACAATTATCAATATACTCGCACGCAGACGGAATGAATGTATACTTTTTCGAGATTCCCTCTACTTAAGCACAGCAACAGGCACAGCAGCATCAACAACACCAGCGCATGCATCGACAACATCAACAGGATGGTCAAGAGGCAAGGGGCGGCGTCAGACGTATGTCTCCGAACCACAAATATCAGATCCCTACGCCGATTTCGGCGCTCCTCACAATTGGTATGTACAGGCCAGGAAATTAAAGCGCTCACTCATTTTGCATGTGGGGCCTACAAACTCGGGCAAGACTCACGAGGCATTAGAACGCATGCAGAGGGCGGCAAGCGGGATATATTGCGGGCCTTTGCGACTCCTTGCTTGGGAAGTGTACGAAAAATTGAATTCAAAGGATGTACCTTGCGAGCTATGGACAGGTCAAGAGGTGAAAGAGGTGGAAGGAAGCCGGCACATGAGCTGCACGGTGGAAATGGCAGACGTGAGTCGCACCTATGACGTGGCCGTTGTGGACGAGTGTCAGTTGATCGGAGACAAGGAGAGGGGATGGGCGTGGACAAGGGTAGTTTTAGGCCTGCCTGCGATAGAAGTCCACCTGTGTGGCTCCCCCGCCTTCGTGGAAATCGTGCAAGAGCTGGCCAGGGAGATAGGGGATGACGTGGAGGTCCGCGAATACGCGCGCCTGAGTCCTTTGAAGCCCCAGAAGAAAGCCGTCGCAAGCTGGGCGGAGATCGAAGCGGGGGACTGTGTGGTTGCCTTCAGCCGTAAAAAACTCTTTGAGCTCAAGAACGAGATCGAGGTCGCCACGTCCCCGCGGATGAAGTGTTGCATCGTCTACGGCGGCCTCCCCCCTGAGGCACGGCGGGAGCAGGCTCGTCTTTTTAACGAGGAAGGCAGCGGCTGGAACGTGATGGTTGCGACCGACGCCATTGGTAGGGACTTATCAGGCTCCGGGACTCTAAATTCATAGCGATTAAGCGTGGGGGGGAGGCGTGTGTGTATCTGTGTTCTCACGGAGTCACCGTGCGAATTGCGGTTCCTCCTGTTTCCTTTACACGGGCACTCCCACAGGGATGGGACTCAACCTGGCAATCGGCCGCGTCATCTTCTCAGCCCTCGAGAAATTTGACGGCAAAGTGGACCGGCGCCTGAGCGACGCAGAAATCAAACAAATCGCGGGGCGGGCCGGGCGGTTTAAGGGGAAATTTCAGGTAGGCGGGGAGGGGTGAAATGCATCTTTTACATTCGAAGGAAACCCGTTGTGCAGTAAAATACTGAAAAAAAAACATGGAAATGGTGGTGTTCATTTCTCGGAGACAGATAGGCCTCGTCGCGGGGCGGGAGAGTGGAGATGTGAGTGTCATCGCGCGGGCGCTGAGGGCGGAGGATGAGCCAATCCGCGCAGCCGGCCTGAAGCCGTCCCGAGAGCAGCTCATGATGTTTGCCAGGGCAAATGGCCTGCGGGTCCGGGAGACCGTGGAGGACTACGCGGCGGCGCGGGAAGAGAGACGGACGAACAAGGCTGGAAGGAGGAAAGGAGGGCGGGAGGAAGGGGCGGCTTACACGGAGTTCACTGATTTGCTGAAGCTCTTCCTCCAAGCTGCCTCCCAACTTGGCTCGCAGGCCCAGGACCTGTATTTCCTGTGCGATTTGACAGACATGCTGGGGGTGGCGCGGCTTGTGGAGGAGATCCCTCTGAACTTGAGGGACCGGTACACCTTCTGCATCGCCCCAGTCGACACCAAGCAGGCAGAGCTGATGGCCTTCCTACGCTTCTTCGCCCGACAGTACCAGCACCGGAAGGAAGTTAAACTGGGCATGGACATCTTGTCGGAGCGGGTGCCGGTGACTCCGTTGGAGCTGAAGCACCTGGAGGAGGTCCACGCGGTGCTGGATGTGTACTTGTGGCTGGGCCTCCGTTTTGGCGAGGACGTGTTCGTGGAGATGGACGAGGCGGAAGAGGCGGCAGTCAGATGCAGCGAGCTGATCGAAGAGGGCCTGAAGACTCTGAAACCCAAGGAGTTCACCTTGGTGAAGGGGGGAAGGGGGGGGCGGAGCAAGGGGGGGAGGATGGGGTCGTCCAGGCAGCGACGAGCGCAGGCAGATCGACGCCGGGGAGGGCGGCTGACATAGTCAGACCGTGCTCGAAAGGGATGAGAATGCAAACAGGATTATGCGCACCGGAAGAAGCTTCGTTGAAATAACTGTATAACCTAAACGCGGTCTCGAGTCAAGCGTGACTTGGTCCCTCATTACGCAGGCAGTGACTGCGTACACCCTTCCATTTTCTACACGCATTGGCCCTCCTTGACACACGCCCCGTTGTTGCTTTACACGGTCGGGCCCTCGTCCGAGTACTACTGAACGATTTCGAAACAGCTACCATGCCCTTGCCCTCTCTCTCCCGCGCCTTTGCCCTCTGTGCTCTTCCTCTCACACACCCCCTCCTACCTCTCTACCTCTTCCTCCTTACCCCTTTCCTCGCCCCGGCCCCGAAGCCCACCATCCCCATAACCTCAGCCACCTCTCCGTCCACCCCCTCCTGCACCTCCCTCCCCTCCCCCTCTTCGCCCTCCTCCACGCCCTGTCCGTACATCTCTCCTTTTTGCTTTCTCCGCCGCTTTTCTCTCTCTCTTCCCGCTTCCAGCGTACAGCATTGCGCGTGGGAGAACACCCTCTTCCCCCCACTCTCCCCCCCCTCCCACGCCGCCATGATAGCCCTTTCCACCACGCTTCTCCCCCCCTCGGTCGGGTCTACCCTCGCCGCCTCTCTCAGCGCCACCCCCGGATGGCACATGAACCTCACTCCCTCCTCGCCCCCCCCCACGGGTACCGCCGCATTGTTCCTGCTCCTCCCATGCAGGAGGAAGGGGTGCGTGAACATGACGTCTCCCGCCTCCCCCACCGTCTCCACCACCCTGCATCCTCCTTCCTCCCCCTCCACCCAGGCCTGGCCCCGCCTGATCAGCTCGGCGGCGTCCATCCCTGCAGGGCCCGCCTCCCTCAGGAGCCTCGCCACCCATTTGTGCGAGCCCTGACACAGGGCGGTTCCCCCCCCACCCTCCCTCACGTCCGAGAACAAGAAGATCGGAACGAGTCCCACCTCCAAAGGATGAAGACAACGCCGACGCCGGCGGCCGTCGATGTGCCAATGGCCTTCCAGGGCCAAGGAGAGGGGGGAAGCGGGGTGGAGGGGGGGAGGACGGGGAGAGGGTGGGGGAGGGATGTTCGTGGGGAGATCGGAGGCTGCAGGAGGAAGAAGGAGAGAGAGGCGGGGACCTCGGTCGGGCTTGTCGTCCCTGTCCCGGGAACGTGACCATCCACCAGCCGCAGCCAAAAGGCCTCCACTTCTCCCGCCCCCCGCAAAGCTGGTCCAGGGCTTGAACGAGACGCGGTGTAAAGACTTGACGCCAGGGGGGGCCCTCCTCGGCACCATAGATACGGGCGAGAGGGAACTTGAGGGGCCAGGTGGAGGGGTCGGATCGAGTGATGCCTTTGGACGGCGGGACAGGAAGGAGAGAGAAAAAGGAAAGGCGGGGTGAGGGCTCGGAGATTCGGTAGCAAAGGGCGAGGTCCCCCCTCCACTCTCTTGTCACGGTGGTGGGGAAGCGACTTGCCCTGTCGCGGCCGTCCACACGCCTTCCGTGGAGCATCCCCACTCTCGCTCAAGCCTTTGTCCCACGACCCTGCCCGCGACCGGCGCCTTACCCTGGTTGCTTCCCTCCTCCCTCGCAGCCCGCGACTCCCCTTCAATGACCCGCCATATCTCTGAGCGGCACGCCGCTGCCACGTCCGGGTCGAACGCTTTTTTCAGCAAGACGAATCCGTTCTGGACAAAGAAGTCCAAGTCTGTCGCCGACAAAGGATCCTCCAGGCGGGAAGAGTCCTCCGTACCACGGCTTTCATCGCTGTCCGTCATGTCTTCCTTGGGGGAAAGCGTGGTATGTGTCTAGAAGGTCGCTTGAAACCAGCCCCTATCCCTGCATGTAGGGTAAGAAAGGATAAAGCTCAAAACACTAGTCATCAGGTCTATTAGTCCGAGGTCTGCTTTCAGAATCCATCAGACTCGCCTTGACGAGATCATCGGAGGAGAAGAACGCATACAGCCTCTTCCCTCTACTAAAGGAAGGGTTGCTAAATCCGGGCGCGTCGTTAGTGTTTCAGTCGTACTTTACTAAACGGAAGAACGGAGAAGATGGCCATGTAACTAAGGCCCGCCTCCGTACGGTCCTCCATGATAGGAAATGACCAGACTGCTTTCCAAATATCTCATATACATATACACGTACTGAGTTGTATGACTTCTTGCACCCTCATGTCCACGTTAGAACGCGGGACAACGACATTAGCCTCTGTCGTACGAGGGGGGTTTCAGTCAGGCGCCGGCGCCCAATTATCATCCTCCTGTCAGACCTTTTACTTATGCATCACTTGGATTTATGTTTCAACGCCCCTTTTTTTCTAAATTTCGATTACTTGCCTTTTGTTTGCCGTTACACGGGTTCCATGGCCTTGGGTATTTGACGCCAGTTCAGGCACAGCACACATTAGCTTTCTATCTGTGTGTACGAAAAAGTGAGCTCTCACGGAAACGGTCCTTGTTCACAAATGCTTGGAACGACAAGTTGCGATAGAACCCGTCCATTCGTCGAATTGCATATATGAGGCATGAAAACTATTATTTTGACCGTGGCAAATATACGAGCACGAGGAGGCGGGGAGGTTAAAAGGAAAAGGAGGACTCAACGCCCATCGTTATCGTAGGGAACCAAAAAATCTCAGCACCAGCTTTCAATGCTGAATGTGATACAGTATATCTACAGCACTTAACATTGTGCGGGAAAGCCCTCTTACTCGTCTGATCAGAATCCTGAGCACTGTACGGTTTGGGAAGGTAGTGACTGTTGAGCAGTGTAAAGCCGCCATGCTCATTGCAAGGAAGAAAACGTGCCTTGGGCGCTTTCATTCTCTACAAACTCGTGAAATTACACGCAACGGGACATTATGCAAATTTATAATTGGACAAGTTGAGGCGTGGCAGTCAAAATCGTCCTCATACTTCCTCTCACGCTCCGCATACTATGAGCCTATTCCTGTCGAAGAAGAGTGTTCCATACGTACACTAGCAGAGGTACAAGAAATGCCCTCTTCTTAAGAGCCTTACCTCAGTGAGATGTGTTGAAAACATAAAGAAGTGGCAACACGTTTTTACGATTTAGAATGGGATGCGTTAATGCGTTCATGTTTTCGGTTTGGTTTTTTTTTGGGCGAGCTTGCTTAATTTCATATTGAATCGTTACTTAGAATTCAGGAAACGAAGTCGACTTCGTAGGAATCGTCTGAAGATACCAGGGAGGAGGAGATAGAGTACGTTGGGAGG